TGCCACTGAAACCAGTGGGATTTTTGCATGGATAAAGCCTCCCAAATTGGGTCTTTCAGCAATCATACATTATTCAGTCATCATTTAGCTCGGTGGTCAAAAAGGAGATATACCTCTTGGGGAGCAATGACGTGTCTTAAATACATGGAAAGTCATATGAGAAAAGAGCATTGGATCTTTCAGAAGCCAAAGCCCTTGAACTACAAAAGGTTGACAAAGGATAGGTGTCATCATTGGTTCAATGGTCAGAGAGAGTTAAGGAATGTCTGAACAGAGAAAGCATGGAATTTAGTGATGAGCTTCTCTAAACTTTTTTTTTTGGGGGTGGGGAAGAAGAGTGGTGAGCTAGAGCTTTACCTATAGGGAACTTCCTCTGCCCATGAAGAACAGCACTAGTTCTGCAAACTCGTATTTAACTGAGAAGTTAAATGACTTGCCCAAGGTCACCTAGCCAGGGTGAGGGCAGGCTTGAACCCAGGTCGTCCTAACTAGGAGCTGACTCTCCATCGTCATGCTACTTCTCTATGCTAAAGATCACCAGTTGGGTTTCATCGGGTGACAGTTCAAGGAACCATTGGTGGATTGCCAGGCTCATACTCAAAACCTTCTTTCCAGCTTGGCAGGACCCATCTGGGCTTCTGCTTTTGACCTTCTGCCAAGGTCACCTCCATATCACCAGAAGGCACCAGAGAAGGGCTTTAGCAGAAACGGAATTTCATATGAAAAATCATAACACTGATGATGATTTAGAGCTTTATTCTCCGTGTAAGATGACACTACTGGGGCAGCTGGGTGGCATAGTGGATAAAGCACCGGCCCTGGAGTCAGGAGGACCTGAGTTCAAATCTAGCCTCAGGCACATGATATTCACTAGCTGTGTGACTCTGGGCAAGTCATTTAACCCCAACTGTCTCACCAAAAAACAAACAAAAAAAAAAAAAGAAGAAGATGGCACTACTGATTCCCTCTCAGTCTCCTTTGATATCTTTCTATTTTAATCAATATCGGTCTTCCTTGGATTGTTATATGTGCATTTTAAGACACCTGACCAAAGGTTGGGAGTCAGTCTGTGACCAGGAATAGGGAGCTAGTCTATAGGAATTGGTCAGGGGAGCTAGGTGTCGAAGCATATACAGCGCTGGGCCTGGAGTCAGGAAGACTCCACTTCCTGAGTTCAAATCTAGCCTCAGATATTTACTAGCTGTGTGACCCTGGGCAAGTCCCTTAACTCTGCCTCAGTTTCCTCATATGTAAAATGAGTTGGAGAAGGAAATGGCAAACCACTCCAGTGTCTTTGCCAAGGAAACCCCAAATGGAGTCACGAAGAGTCAGACATGACTGAAAACAAGTAAACAGCAACAGCAATGAAAAACGATGTAACTACAGACAGGTCACTTAACCTGACAGAACTAACAGATAGAATTCAATTCAAATAACTTTTATTAAGTTCCTGCTATGTGGCAGGCACTATGCTTAACACTAGGAATTAGGAGACCAGGATTCTAGTTTGAACAAAAATCCTTGTTGACAAAAAAAAAAAAATTAGTCCCAGCTCTGCTACTGATTCACAGCAACCTAGCAACCTATCTCCAGCAAATTCCTCCTCCTCTCTGTGCCTCAGTTTCACCATATTTCATATAAGGAAACTGAGCAAAATGACATCCAAGCCCTCTTTCATTCTATTCTATAATGCTTATCCAATTGATATTTTTTATTGTTTTCTTCTCTTCAATCTAACCACTCAGATATTCTATTAGAAACAAAAGACTCGTATTTTCTGTTTAGTGTCTGAAACAATGCTGAAGGGTTAATTATGGCCAATAGTTGCTTGAGAAAGGGGGGTTGCTGCACCATCTTGATTCCATGTAAGAGATGCATCTGAATTACTGCAGCATTGGGTCTCTTAAATCGATGTTTAGCAGATTGGAAAAAATCCAGACCCTGCTGTGTAGACAGACAAGGGATTTGGCCTTGACCTTTCCGCAAATTTTACCAAAAGAATCCTGATCTTCCCCCCTGCCCCTTTATCCTTTTCCCCCTTCCTGTCACCCCAGGCTTAGTGCACATCCATTTGGAACATCAGGATTGTTTTCCAGTCCTGCAAATGAACTCTCCAGATGTGGTGTGTTCCCAACCAAGTAACCCCAAGAGTTGCTGAAAAACAGAATACTTGAGCTTTGCTAGTGTCTGGGACAGCCCAGGGCTCCCAATCCTGTAGTTCAGGCCCATCTGGGCTAGGGGGCATGTGGGGACCTGTCTGGAACATTCTCTGTGGCTGCTGTGAGACTTGGCAGGGATTCAGGAGGGAACTAGTCTATCCTTGCAGCCATCACAGATTACCTCAGTCTTATGTGCAGAGGGAGCCTCTGGAAGGAGAGGCCTGATTGACGGTCTTGACCACTATAGGCCCCGTGGCCTGATATGGTCTGATCTGCAGAGGCTAATTAAAGGATCTGGATACCTCAGGAAAATAAGCTGCTTGTTTTAGTTGGGGGGTGGGGGAGGGTTGACTTCTAGGCAGTTAAGAAAGGCTCTTTCTGAGTTACTTGCCTGAATTCACTTCGCCCTGCTAGCCCAGGTCAGACTTCAATCAGAGGTAAGCCCAGTATTTCCTACCTCAAGCTTTCCCTCAGATTTATTTCTGTACCGCTCATGCAGTTCACTAAAGGAGGCAATAAACTATGATCTACATCATTCAGATTCAATGGGATCATTTTCGAGAATGGGGAAGATTGGCTCGGAGCCTGCTGATGGGGCCACTGTAAGATTATTTCAATATTGGGAAATGAATGGCAGGCATCAGAGTGGGGCCGGGTGGGGCCTCAGCTCTTCTCTGCAGCCCCTCCCTTTTGTCTCTCCCACAGGCTGAGGCCTGTCTCTCTCCACTTCATGTGAACAGCTGCAGAGGGTCCCTACGTGGCTGCTGGGAAGCAGCTAGACCCTGGGAACACTCTTTGTGAAGCATGTAATTCAGATTCAAGATCCCTGGATTCTAGGTCACACCCTGATACTGAGTCCATTTGGGAAAATCACATTAAACACCCCAGAAACATTTTTCCAATTTTCCAATATAACAAAAGCATGACCAATAATGACTTCTTCCGCTCTTCCCAAGAATTGTTGGGAATTGATGACAAGGCTCGAAGAGAATGCATTGTAAAGTTAAGTTAAGATGTTCTGCAGGAAATGAAGGTCTTGGATGCATAGCAAATGGTCACAGGGACACCTAAGGACATTTAATATGCTCTGGAACATCTAAGTAAGCATCTTTCGTGGCACCAAGTACTAAAGGCTGTCTAGTTACCCACAACATTACTCTTTTGCCTTTTAGTGTGTTCCAAGAACCAAACAGGTGTCTGACAGGGCTGGGTATATCAGAGACCTACCCTGTCCCGCCCTGTCCTTCTCTGCCTACCTAGAAGAGATAGCATTAGACTCACTGGTACTGGAAGATTCTAGCTCCCTACCTTTCAAGAACCCCTGCTCTAAGAGGAAAGATGTGATGGGAGAAGGAAGGAAAGAAAGAGGTCGGTGATCAGGAGGATAGTCATGGGAACTGATATTTCTTATCCCCACTAGACTATAAGGTCACTGAGGACAGAGACCAGCTCTAGCAGAACATACCTGGGAATTCTGGCAACTGGAACAAAGTCATTTATTGAGTGTAGAGCCAGGACACAAGCACCAAAATTGGGACAGGTCCTGGGGCACCAGCGCAGGAAAGACAGAAACCCTGAGCAAGCTTCTTCTCTATGAGTAAGGAATATCATGGTCATCTCCCATGAATAGCATAGCACCAGACCTTAGGGCAGTCCTCCTAGGTTGGGTATAGAAAAAATAGTAATCTTATGCCTATATGATACTTATACCCTTTCAATGGAGGAAGGGGAGGATGTTGCAGGGAGCAGCAGTTGGGCACAGGTAAAATCAAGTACCAGAAGGGGTGTGTCATAGCTATAGGACCCTAAGAATGTGGACCCATGTCCAAGTAAGGGAGCAGGAGCTGTGAGGGGAGTGGGCACAGAGAGTTCCTCCAGTGTTGGCAGCCTGGGGCAAGTCCCTGATTTCCCTATGCTAGTTATGGCTCTGTCAACATTACCTAACACAGGCAGGTGTGCAAATGTTTGTCAATTGAATGCAGAAAAGAACACTGTCATTAAATCTGACATTGTCAGGATCTTCCACCCTGACTACTGCTTCCACTAGTGCTCAGGACCTGAATCCCTTCTCATCTCTCATCAGCCACACAGCCTACATGAGAATCTTCATCGTGACCCAAACAATTATAGGGACAATGGTATAATAGACCACCCTTTTCCCAGGGAACTCTGGAGAGATCAACAACTCAGCATCAGAAGGTGAAAGTGGCACAGGACTTCAGGGATCATCTAACATGACCTCCTCATTTTACAGATGAGTAAACTAAGGTACAAGTAGATTTGCATAAGGTTTGAGAGACTGAGGTACATTGTATTTCTTTCACCTTATACCCATGGCTGTATGTATGTCAGACCATTCTATACTTATCCAGTTTTTCAGGGGCAGATATGGAGGAAGATTTTCTATGTGTCCACCAGTGAGCTTTTAAGGTCTTTTGCCACCTACAATCCAGCCAAATAGGCCTTCTTCGTATTCCTCACACAACAAGACATCTCTAGCCTCTCTGCCTTTAGCTACCTTGTATTGATATTAATTTACATGCATATATTTTTTTATTCTGCATATACACACACATATATAAATATGTACCTCTTGTCTCTCCTGAGAGAATGAGAGCAAGGACTTTCACTGTTGTCTTTGTATTGTCTAGCACAGTGCCTGGCACATTTGTAGGTATTGGGGGTTAAGATGAAATGGAGTCAGAGAATGTGAAGTGTTGATGGTTGCACAAAATATCTATGTCTCTAGAATCTTTTCATTCATTTTATGTCACGTATATCTTCTGTTTAATACAGGAGAGTATGATGGCTTTCCTGGGAAGAGTATTAGAGCCTTAATAGGGAAAAAAAAAACACGAAGAGTCAGTCTCTGCCTCATCATTGGCTACTGTAATCAACCCAAATCTGAGCTGAGCTGTGTAGGCCTCACAGGGTGTGATGACGGGCATAGCAGAAGAACTCGATGGGCGACACCTGTGGGATTTCTCCAACTTGTTCCAACTAGCCAAATGAGCAAGTCTGACTTGAGATAGAAGGGAGAAGCAGCAGCAGCTTGGGTCCCAACATGACCCAGTCTCTGTCCCCTCAGGAGGAGGAGGAGGAGGGTGGAAGGGTTACATCAGGCTAGCGGGGGCTGGCAGGATGCCAAGGAAGGTGACTTCTCAGAGTCTAACCAGGGGGGATGGGTCACGAAGGCCTCCATACCTTCCCCTTAAGCTCTTTCTTTCTCCACTGGAGCAGAAGACTTCGGTAGAGACCCTGCTTTTCACAGAAACTTTGCTCACACCACTCTGAGGAGAGTGGGTGGAGGAGGGCTGCAGGTGGTAACAGCAGAGCCTGGGGGATGCTGGCTTGGTGTATAAGCAGAATGGCAGAGGGGCCGGCCCCAGGACAGACCTGTGTCTGTGAACTGGATCGTTCAGCCCTGGCCTCAGGGAGGGGGTGCTGGCTGAAGCTCTCTCTTGAAAGGGAGGTGTTGGAGACAAAGCTAGCTGCAGGCACTGGCTGCCCCTCCCTCGACAGGCTGTGGTCTGCCTGCCTCTAAGAAGGGTAGGCTGGGAGGAGTAGGGTGAGATCTGCAAAAAACAGGTTGAAGAGACATTCCTTGCTTGGGAGGGGGTAGGGAGAGAGACATGGAGAGATGGGGAGAGAGAGAGAGAGAGAGAGAGGGAGAGAGGGAGGGGAGAGAGAGAGAGAGAGAGAGAGAGGAGAGAGAGAGAGAGAGAGAGAGAGAGGAGAGGGAGGGGAGGGAGGGAGGAGGGAGGGAGGGAGGGAGGAGGAGGAGAGAGAGAGAGAGAGAGAGAGAGAGAGGGAGGGAGGAGGGAGGAGGGAGGGAGGGAGGAGGAGAGAGAGAGAGAGAGAGAGAGAGAGAGAGAGAGAGAGAGAGAGAGAGAGAGAGAGAGAGAGAGAGAATGAATAGCTGCTGGCTGGAAACTGGTGGAGACAATGCCAGAAAGGACTTCAGAGATCATCTGATCCCAACTCCTCATTTTACACGTGATAGAACAGGCCCTGGATGTTCAGTTCAGTGACTGTAAACCCAGTGCTCCTTCCACTGGGCCATCTGGCCTCCTATTTAGGAGAAGGGAGGGACAGGAAAGAACAAGAAACTCTTTTCTGGGTCTAACATCTTAACCCCAAAGAGATCATGAGGTACTTTCTTCTTTTCTTTCTTCCCCTACCTTTGTCGAAGTGTGTGTGAACTTTTAAAATAAACGGTTTGGTTTTTATGAGCCCTTGCTCTGCTGTGAGCCTGTTGTGTGACCAATAAATTTGTCAGGAGCTCCATCCTGCCACAACTGCTACTGAAGAGAGCTCAGAGCCAGGCTGAGGGAGCCCTGACCTCCGGCAATCAGTAACGAGAATAATAAATATCCCTCACCTACACATCCATCATCATCCTGAGCTTTCACACCAATGATAATATTTGCTCCTTATGTTATCCCTGTGACATTGGCACTGGTTCCCATTTTTCAGATGGATAAACTAAGAGTCATGGAGGCCAATGTGACTTACTGAAACTTACACAACTGGGAAGGAGATTAGCTAGTACTAGACTTATTAGAACTAGAAGTCAGAAAATTAGGGCCTGATTCCTGGCTTCTCTATATCACGTTAAGCAAGCTTTTTTTAAATCTCTCTGGACCTCAGTTTCCACATTTGTAAAATGAAAAGCATAACTGGATGTTCTCTAAGGTCCCTTCAACGAGAACTCTAACTAGGGTGGGGCAATTATGGCTTTCTTCCCAAGAGAGTATATTTAGAGAGTGCCAGATTTGGAGGACACGGGCTGAATTTACAGTGAAAACAATAGAAAATGGTACCTAGCTAGTAATAACAATTAATCAAAATAGGAAATTTTGAAGTGGTGTTAAGATAAATTCCTTCTCTACAAAATCCTAATACTTTTCCTATCCGTGACTCAGCTGCAGCCTCCCCAGAACTCACCTTCCACTAGTGTCTCAGGGACTCTGTCTCTTCCCCATTGATGATGTTTAAGACCTCCTTCTTCAAACTGAGGGTGTGTTGTAGACCACTTGCCACACGTAGTTTGTGGTAGTTACCCCAGATGTAAAAATGCCTAATTACAGAAGAATTATGCCTTTAGTTTCTCTGCTCTCTGCTCTCTTACTCTTACTATAGTGTTCTCACTAGATTGGCATGCCTAGGTCAGATCCATGCTCCCAGAAGCCATATGGGGAAAGGAGAGAGGAAAATAGTAGTTGTAGTAGTAGTAGTAGTAGCAGTAGTAGTAGTAGTAGTAGTAGTAGTAGTAGTACTAGTAGTAGTAGTAGTAGTAGCCCAGCAGCAGTAGCAGTAGCAGTAACAGTAGTAGTAGCAGTAGCAGTAGTAGAAGTAGTACTAGTAGTAGTAGTAGTAGTAGTAGTAGTAGTAGTAGTAGTAATTAACATTTATATAGCACTTTGCGGTTTGCTAAGTAGTTTACATATATCATCTCATTAGATCCTTATAGCAAACCTATGAGGTAGGCGCTATTATTACCCCATTTTGCAGCTGAGGCAACTGAGGCTAAGAAAGTTTAAGTAACTTGATAAGGATCACACAACTAGCAGATATGTTGAATCAGAATTTTAACTCAGTTACTCCTGATTCTAAATCCAGTGCTGTATTTACTATACTACCTACCTACCCCAAGGTCAGGTAGGAATACTTATTTAGAAACAAATGGGTCATCAAGGGTGAGCCTCAGTACCTGCCTCCTTATAGTACAAAGTAAAAGCTGGAGCTGAAATATCTGGGTAAATTCAGCATATGGACTTTCTTTTCTTTTCTTTTCTTTTCTTTTCTTTTTTTCTTTTCTTTTCTTTTCTTCTTTTCTTTTCTTTTCTTTTCTTTTCTTTTCTTTTCTTTCTTGTCTTTTCTTTTTTTGGAGATGATTTTCCTTTTTTTTAATATGAGCTTATTTATTTCTGGTTTTCAATATTCACTTCCACAAGATTTTGAGTTCCAAATTTCTCACCCCTCCCCCCACCCCAAGATGGCATGCATTCTGAATACCCCTTCCCCTGGTCTGCCTTCTCTTCTATCTCTCCCCTCCCTTCTCTTATCCCCTTCCCCTTCTATTTTCCTGTAGAGCAGGATAGACTTCTGTACCCCATTTCCTGTATTTCTTATGTCCCAGTTGCATGTGAAAACATTTTTTTTAAAACATGTGTTTTTAAAACTTTGAGTTCCAAATTTTCTCCCTTCCTCCCTCCCCACCCACCCTCATTGAAAAGGCAAGCAACTCAATGTAGGTTGTACATGTGCAGTTATGCAAAACACTTCCTTAGTAGACATGTTGTGAAAAACTAACTCTACATCCCTTAATCCTATCCTGCCCTCCCATTTATTCTATTCTTTCTTTTGACCCTGTCCCTCCTCAGAAGTATTTGCTTCTGATTACCCTTTCCCAATCTGCCCTCCTCTCTATCACCCCCTGCTCTCTTGTCCCCTTCTCCCCCTATTTTCCTGTAGGGTAAGACAGATTTCCATACCCAATTGAATGTGTATGTTATTCTCTCCTTAAGCCAAATCCTATGAGAATAAGATTCCTCATTCCCTCTCACCTTCCCCTGTTTCCCCTCCACTGAGAGACTTTTTTTTCTGTTTTTTTTTGTGAGATAATTTACCCCATTCTACCTCTCCCTTTCTTCTCCGAGTATCATCCTCTCTCATCCCTTAATTTTATTCTCCAGATATGACCCCTTAATCTTCAACTCACCCTGTGCCCTCTTCTATCTATATACATACATACATACAATTTTTTTCCTTCAACTACCCTAATACTGACAAAGTTCTCATGAGTTACAAATATCATCTTTCCATGCAGGAATGTAAACAGTTCAATCTTAATAAGTCTCTTATGATTTCTCTTTCCTGTTTACCTCTTCATGTTCCACTGGAGTCCTGTATTTGAAAGTCAAATTTTCTGTTTAGCTCTGGTCTTTTCATCAGGAATGCTTGAAAGTCCTCTATTTCACTGAATGACCATTTTTTCCCCTGAAGGATTATATTCAGTTTTGCTGGGTAGGTGATTCTTGGTTGTAATCCTATCTCCTTTGCCCTCGGAATATTATATTCCATGCCCTGCGGTCCTTTAATGTAGAAGCTGCTAAATCTTGTGTTATCCTGATTGTGTTTCCACAGTACTTGAATTGTTTCCTTCTGGCAGCTTGTAATATTTTCTCCTTGACCTGGGAACTCTGGAATTTGGCTACAATATTCCTAGGAGTTTTCCTTTGGGGATCTCTTTCAGGAGGAGATCTGTGGATTCTTTCAATTTCTATTTTGCCCTCTGGTTCTAAATATCAGGGCAGTTTTCCTTGATAATTTCTTGAAAGATGATGTCTAGGCTCTTTTTTTGATCATGGCTTTCAGATAGTCCAATAATTTTTAAATTCTCTCTCCTGGATCTATTTTCCAGGTCAGTTGTTTTTCCAATGAGATATTTCACATTGTTTTCTAATTTTTCATTCTTTTGGATTTGTTTTACAGTGTCTTGATTTCTCATAAAGTCACTGTCTTCCAATTGCTCTATTCTAATTTTTAAGGAAGTATTTTCTTCAGTAATCTTTTGGACTTCCTTTTCCATTTGGCCAATTTTTCTTTTTAGGGCATTTTCTCCTCATTGGCTTTTTGGACCTCTTTTGCCATTTGGGTTAGGCTATTTTTTAAGGTGTTATTTTCTTCAGTATTTTTTTGGGTCTCCTTTAGCAACTGTTGACTTGTTCTTCATGATTTTCTTGCATCACTCTCATTTCTCTTCCCAGTTTTTCCTCTACTTCCCTTACTTGCTTCTCAAAATCCCTTTTGAGCTCTTCCAAGGCCTGGGACTGATTCATATTTTTCTTGGAGGCTTTGGATGTAGGAGCTTTGATTTTGTTGTCTTCTTCTGGTTGTATATTTTGATCTTCTTTTTCACCAAAGTAAGATAATATAGTCTGACTCTTTTTGCTGCTTGCTCATGATCCCAGCCAATTACTTGAGTTTTAAACTCTTTGTTAAGGTAAGAGTCTGCTTCCAATGTGAGAGTGTACTGTCCCAAGCTTCAGGGGTTTGTGTAGCTGTTTTCAGAGATACTTGTAGGGACCTGTAAATTTTCAGTTCTTCCAAGGTGGTATGATAAGGGGCAGGTGTTTACTCCTTTCCTGGCCTGTGACCACAAGTATTCCTTTCTGTCCTGTAACTGTGAGGAGGGGTTTCTCTCCACAGCCACTACAAGCTCCACCACGCCAGCGCTCCTCCTCACCCCAGCACTGCCGCCCAGAACTGTGACCCAGATCCACACACGGGCAAAGCAAGAGATTCCTGCCTCAGCACTGGCAAAGAGATCCCTGCAGTCCCTCTCTGATCAGCCACTGGATTCCCCCTCAGTCTGTGGGCCGGAAGCTGGGAAGCAGCTGCCCCCCCCAGGGCCAGGCTCTTGGGAATGGAGCTGAGACCCCGCCTTCCTCTCTGACCACCACAGAAACAGACTTTTCCCACTGACCTTCTAAGTTGCCTTTGCCATTTGTGGATTGAGGAGTGTGGAAACCTCCACAGCTGCACGTGATTCAGTCCTCTGAGGCCTGCTCCAGGTTTGCTGTGGCCTGCGTGCCCACATTGCGCTGCGCTGCTCTCCCAGCCCGGTGCTGTACACCTTTCTGATCAATCATCCAGGTTGTCTTGGGCTGGAAATTTGTTTCATTCTGCCTTTTTGTGGGTTCTGCTGCTTCAGAATTTGTTTAGAGCCATTTTTATGAGTATTTGGAGGGGTTTGGAGGGAGAGCTCAAGCAAGTCACTGCTTTCACTCCGCCATCTTGGCTCCTCAGCATATGGACTTTCTCTTCTGTTTTCTGGTACTTTTCTCAGAATCCCTGAGACTGGAGCCCTAATACAATCCTCTTTTAATGAAACAGCTGTTGTGTGGAGGGGACCTGGGGGCTTGGGTCCTGAGCCCATCTGCGCCAAGGAGATTGTCTATCAGAAGCAAGTGCTTCTGTCAAAAGATAGAGAGTGAGGAAACCTGACCAGAATCCTTTCAGGACAAAGGCACTAGCCAAAGGGAGGGTGCAAGAGATAGGGCTAAGTAGGGAGTCCTGAAGAGTTCCAGCTTAAGGGAACTTAGACAAGTCTTTCAACTTCCCTGAGTCTGTTTCCTTATCTGTGAAATGAAGTTAGACTATTTGGCCTCTGTGGTCTCTTCCAGCTTTAAATCTATGATCCTACGACACCTCTGGGCTCCAGAGAACCCTGTTGGCCCTTCCTGAACATGCTTGGCATGTGGTGTAGATGCCTCCCATGCTGCCTCAGGTTCACAAAGGCCTATGCTTTTTCAGCCTCCCAGGCTGTGTGGCTCTCATGTTGCCTTTACTGAAGGTAAATTCCCTTTACTTTACCCTCAACACTCACAACTGCACCTCTGAGAGCTCATGAGCTTCCAGCTGGCACCATTGATTAGGAGGCTCAGACACTAGAACTTCAGGGGAAAATAGGGTTCCCTTCAGTTTTCTTGGTGTTGATAGTTGTGCCAACCTGGCCAGAGGCAATGGTGGGATTAGAACTTTGGGTTTGTCAATCTGGTTTGTCATTCAGTTGGTCAGCAAGGATTTATCGAGTGCTTACAATATTTCAGTACTGTGCTAAGTTCCAGAGAATATAAAGGCAAAAACACTTTTGCTCCCTTCAAAGAGCTAACATTCTTACATGAAAATATTTATATATGAAATATGAATAGTAAATAAAAGATCATTATGGTTTCTTGGACTCATTCTAGCTCATCCATTGGAAAACTACATGTTACCTCAGTTACTTCCCTTGAAAAATGCAAAAGGGAGGATGCTGGACAACTTCATGGGGCCATAACATGGTAGCTGAACACTCTGGAGCATGGAGGAGTGATAATCATTGACTGTTTGGTACAAAAATGATTATTCAGAGAAGGGGGATCCAGATGGGGAGGGAACAAGAAATGAGAGACTTAGCTATACACAAATGTGTTGAAGGAACTAAACAAAGGTGTTTATCTTAGAGAAGACAAGATGTGGGAGGAACAGGAAGGAGGAGGAAGGAGAGGGGAGAAGGGAGGAGAGGAGGGA